AATTTTAAAATCTAGTTTGTGTTATCTGCAGATAATCATTAAATACAGTTGTCTTCAATTGACTGTTTAGTGCAAAACAAATCTTTGTAATAAGGGGATTTTTAAAGAGGAAGGTAAGAGGTTAACGTAATTACATTGCTAACGCAGCAACAAATGATCAACCAAACACGACTAACAAGGTCTGGAAGGTCTGGTCTGGAAGGGGGATCCTGATCCCGCATTCCCGCTCATTTCTTAAAGACAATCCTGCATCCCGAGCTTCTAGTGTCATCTCTATTCCAAATAACGTTTTATTTCCCAATACCGTATCCCGTGCCAAGAATTTAGCGAATTCCACGTCCTGAGTAGCGGTCAATTCCCGTTTACCGTCAAAACATGTTGCGTTTTTCCCAATCCCGCACTGTATTTCAATCAAATCCTGGATCCCGAAATACCCTTCCAGATCCTGGGCCAACGGTTGTCAGGATTACATACACTTAATCTTTACAGTAATGGTGTTTCCTTATTTACACTAGGGATCATGTTCTACAGCTTTATAAAGGTCAAAGAAGGTTTGCCCAAGGAGTGTTTCCTTCTCCCCCTAAACTAGTGGTGAGTCCCTCAATTAGCTTAAGATGGCGCAGGTAGACTGAAGACTTTTTAAGCCATAGGCTACAATATGTACCAACACCTCTAATAGTTCTTGCAAATTTATTTTGCTTGTCGCGGTCTTTTTCGTAATGTTGGGGATAAGAATTGTTTATTTCACAAGAGCCGATGGTCTGTGAGTGATCGTAAGTGACTGTCACGTTTGTCTTCTTAATCTTTCATTCACAAAAGTGAGACTATTTTCTGATGGCCAATAGACGTGATCCTTAAATTGAGAGAGTGCCAATACATAATATACTTTCAAGTCATAAAACAATGTTTTTCACTTCTGACTTGACGCAGGAACTTATATTATATATTATATTCTCGCTCATCCAGGGTTCTCATGCACAGTCGTGAAAAGTCCTCGAATTCCTTTTTGCCTTGAAAAGTCCCTAAATTTCTGTGGAAGTCCTTGAAAATTCCTTTAGTTTTGTTCAACTATGAATGTAGTGGCCTGAAAAGTGTTTTCTAACGCTTTTTGATTGTCCAAAATAGAACACAAATAGTTGCTCAGAGAAGATAAAGATGATTTACATAAAGCGTTCTTTTGTTTTATGCATTAATTAACTGTCAATTTAAGAGAGGAAAGTGCGCTGAAAATCAGTTCTGTAAAATTACATTCCTGGTAGGTGGTCCTTGCATTGAAAATTAAATCTTGTCCTTGAAAAGACCTTAAAAAGTCGTTATAAAGTGGTAAACCCTGTGCCATCCATGAAGCCGATTAACACTTTTTCTATTACACAAATAAATTAGTTTGTCGGACCGTCGTTTTCGGATATAACATGTTTTTCACAAATGAACCTACAATTGTAGTTGTATGGCATGACTCTCCACGAGTCTTCCAAAGCGCATGTCTAAAAAAACACACCAATAAAACCAATCAGTATTCATAAACTTTGTGTGACTGACTTCCTTTAGGGGTGCTCATTATTGCTTTCGTCTGTTTATTGTTTTGTTTTGTTTTGTTGTTGTTGTTTTTTTTAATTTCAGTTAGGGAGTCTTCGGTTCTCGGGATATCAAGTTGCCTATATAATTTATGGTAGGAGTTATATAACTTTCAGTAAGCTTAGTAGCATCTAGTATGGAATAAATCTGCTCTAATCCATTGACCCTTTAATTTTTTCACTTCCATAATTGTTTAAGATCAAAGTGAAAGAAAAAAACTGATCGCATATGGTGGAACTGCTGATCAGAAGGTTTCATTCCATAGAGTAGAAGGTGCACTTAATGTGGCCCATATTTTTTAGAACTATGCTTGGAGAGAAAATTGCGTCTCGAAACGTATTTCATTAAAATGCGAGTCGCTGACACCCTTTTTTGTTATAAG